AGCCGATACGATATTTTTAATCATTTTTCACGGACGAATTGGTAAATGAAATTATAAAGGAAACCAACGATCACGCAGAAAATGTTCTAAACTTGAAAGAAATGTCTAGTAACTCTATTTGACAAAGTGAATACTGTGACACTTGACCAAGTAAACCAAGAATGCACATGGGAGATTGTTACCAAAGATACCACACCATGGTGAATTACAAAACTAAAAATTTATCTTTTATTTACAATAGGAAAATGTATATTTATAAAATAAATAAAATCAAATGCATTCGCAAGGAAGTGTAATCTTTTCCGCTGAAAATAAGACTTCCTTTATCTCAGGCGCTCCGCTCCAAAAATGTGCCGGAGTTTCTGGTACGCGCGAAGCGCTATGAGTTAATTAGCCTAACTTAATCGATGCTCTTTTTTATACAATATGCTAAACAAGGAAAGCTAACATCGATCTTCGCCGATACTTAACGCGTTGATCGTATCCGACAAAAGTTTGAGCAGACGTTCAGTGTGAAACTGTCACTAGCACCTGATTCCGATTTCCTTAACACGTGCGGTAACCTCGAGAGAACCGCCCTCGCCAGCTTCGGCTACTCGTCGCGTCGGAAGAAGGAACGTATTGCGCTCGAATCCGCTTGGCTGACGCTGTGACGCGGCTCGACTCGCGACGCGACGCGACCGAAGAAAGTAGGACGATGATCAACGTGAAAGAGGACGCGAAGGGAAGGGAATGGAAACGAGCGCGGAGATGCAGAGGAACAAGGCGAGAAACGAACGGAAAAACCGTGGAGGGAGGAAGGGAGGAAGGGAAAGAGAGTAAGGGAGTACCTCCGTTGGAGAAGAGGACACCGGGTGGAACGATGTCTGCTGTATAGGTAGTCGCGAGAAGGTAGAAGCGAATAGGAGTGGAATGTCGCAAAAAGAAAAGCAACGCAGGCTGTAGTAATACGGAGGAGCAGAGGTATCGCGTGTTGACAAAGCGAGGACCGAGAGAAACTTGGGAAACAAGGAATTACGCCCGAAAGACGGGGGAGGTTCGAGGGGTGCGCGCAAAAAGGGAAGAGTCTTGCGAGACAATAACCAAATGAATAAGTTGGACGGGAAAGAGGAACGGGCGAAGGCTTAGAAAAACAGATGGACGAGCAATGGGGAAATTAATTACGTCGCTGGGACCTACGACGATGACGACGGTATCATCGTCGGGACGAGTATAACCAGAATTCTTCTCGTTCCGACGTTTCGTTGTATTCTCTGACATATTCTTTGCAATCGTCGTCGAATTTTTATTTCATTTTTAACATATTCAGTGACGAGAATCAACCCCAAAAATTCTCAGCAAATTTAAGCGATTCGGTGAACGAAATTGAAACTAGAAAATTAAAATTTATCATAGCGAATAGTATTCGAACTCTTTTACAATATAAACGAATCTTGAAAAATAGTGAGAAATTCTGTTTAAATCTAGGAATTTTTCCAACGAAATCCTGTGCGAATCGCTCTGCCAAGGTTATTGTCGAATAATCTTGAAGCAAAGCTAGAAAAGTAAGGAATCTTTCTCGAATTTTTATCAATCAAGAACTATTGACACTGTGAGAACGATCTTTTTATAGTAGGGATGTATAGGCTCTTCAACTGCTTAAGATTTAGCTCTGACTAGCAGCAGGCATAATTGTGCAAATACAAAATTATTAGAATTTATGCGATGCAAGTAATTCTGCTAAGTGAAATACTGTAAAATACAGAAAAAAAGTAATCACTTGGTACGAGGTCGGAGAAAAAAACGTAGCGATAAAGTTGCTAACCTCGAATTGTTATCAGACCTTTCAATATCAAGAAGTATCGGACACGTAGGAAATAAAAATGTAATGCGGAGAAGTTAAGGCGAGTCTTAATTAAAAAATGTATTTAGTCTGTTTTACTTTTAATTTTGCTGACAATGCTCTTCAGATTTGGAATGAGCGATTGCTAGACTGCGGGTCTTTGTGCGGATTCATAGGTTATTCCATGGAAACTGGAATAGAGGACGCCATAGTTCACCGAGTAAAAAAGTTCACCGCATCGTAGGAACAAAAGCAGAAACAATCATTAATCTTTGTTGAGTCAAGTATTTTCCACGCATTGTTGAGCGTACGAGAACCTGAAAAAAACTCATAAAACGTTAACGTATACCTCATTTTTAACGTACACACACTTTACTCAATTTACGGCATTCTTACGAATAAAATGTTGCTGAATTTTATATCCGTACCTCTCGGCTTTTATAACGCGTAAAAACGTTGAACCACTTCTAAATTATTATCCAAGTTTGAATGGTCGTTGTATGTAATACCGTTCCATTGTTTTTTATTCAGCGTGCGGAAACTGTGGAGAAACTGCAACTTTATCCGAATTTGTTGCGTCCATGGAGTGTTTTTCTCTCATTTACAGTGTTTCACATTTTAGTGATTCATCGCAAGAATCGTGGTAATTTCGTCTGTAATTTTTCTACAAAATTATTTCGATCGAATGTGATTTTCTATGCTGCGCAGATTTAACATCTCATTCGTTAATTTCGTGAAAAATGTACTATTTTCTACTGACACGTCGACAGCAAGAACAAGTACAGTAATTTCACCTCGATTCGCGCTCAGATTGCGCACAAACATGGACAATTTGGAAAGGGGAGATACAAGGCTCGAGTAATCGTATCTCCTCTTTCAAAATTGTCCATTTTTGTGAGGAAAATCTGAACGCGATCCGTGTTTTAAACACTAACGAACAATTTTGTTTTCACGATTCTACCGTAAATTTCTGGCTACTGCAGATAAGATAGCAGCCGCGAATGACGAAATAAATACAGAAATTATGAAGAACGTGCGATACATGGAGGAGATAAGGAACGTAGAAGACGTGTATGCTCGCCATCCAATTCACTTTCGGTTTATCAAATTCGCTGAGATACGAAACAGAAATGACCTACACTGTCCGACCACAGCACCATTCTTAAAACATTAAGTAAACGACTCGTGAACCAATTAAACACTCGTATAACAATTAGCTATATTACCGTTCCGGCAATAACGTCATGTGTCAACGGTCCGATTCGAATCGGATATCGAACCGTTGCAATAAAGCTTTTCCAATCGCTGGTCGGGGGGTTTTATGGGAATCCTTTTGCGATTATACACTGAAACGGAGTATATTTAATTCTGATGATCCCCCTTTATTTCGCGGACTATTCCACAGGTGTACAATTTCTGCGGTCTCCGATTAATCTGTTGATCGGCCGATTTTCCGGCGATTAACCCACGTAGAGGCGCAATTAACTCCGGATAAGAATGATCGCGAACAATTCACGCAATAATGTGCGATCTGATTCACGGTACTGGAGGTATCGAATGTAGAATAAAGGTTAATATCTCGGGAAATAGTAATTATCCATGCTAAAAATTAAGCACGTGGGATTCTCGGCCGTTCCTGAAAACGTCAGATCATTATAACACGAGACTGTACCACCGTGATTCAAATTTTCAATTATCCAAGGTAGAAGCATCGCTTATGGTCTCAACTCCTCTGTCCTCCCATAAAGATCGACTTTCAAGTCGGCCGTGCGGAATCGTGTCAGTCGCACGCACGGTCTCGGCGGTAGCGAAACGGTTAAGCGCTTCATCGCGTTAACCGTCGCATTATCCAGCGATCTTGTCTTCGCAACCGGGAACGGAGCACCGGCCCCCGGGGGCAAAAAAGCCAGTCGCCGCGCCGTGGCCCGGACTCCGGAGGTCTAAATTACAAAGTGACCGGAATGGAGTCGCGCACGAGGACGATACGACGGGACGCGACGAAACAGCGCACGGGCCGCTTCGCCGGGAGAGACGGTGACCGGCAGGGCGCCGGGTTTCGCAAGTAAGCGAGAAAGGAGCTTGTCGTCGTTGATGGAAAGAGGGACGCGGGCCAGCTTCGAAGAAGGTGAGAGCTGGAACAGCACGAGAGTCGGTGACGAAACCGTGGACTTGTTGGAAGAAGAAGAAGAAGAGGTTGAAGAGAGGAGATAAAAGGAAAAATGGGGAAGGAAGAAGGAAGAGGAATAAGAAGATGAGATGGTAAGAGGAAGACGGAAGAGTGAGAAGAAGAAGGAAGTTGGGAAACCGAACAGTGGAGGAGATGAGAATGAAGGAAGAAAGAGGAAAGAAACTAGAGGCCGCTCGGGCGTCGGAGAAAAGAAGAGCAGTGCGCGGAAGGATGAAAACGGGAGAGAGAGAGGGGGGGAGGGGAGGATGAGAAGGAAGAAGAGGAAGGAGGAAAAGAGGCCGAGGCAGAGACCTACATATTCCATAGGGCCAATGAGACGGCGCAATGTGGCGGCACGGTTCGCTCGTCCTTCTCCAACTTGTTCGCCGGATCTCGGGATGGAGAACGGCGCAGCCGGTCGGCTGGCGGCCGACAGGGGGTTTAGCGGGGGCCGAGCAGCAGCAGCGGCGACGGCGGCGGCGGCGTTGGCAGCAGCAACGGGAACTGCCGCAGCAACAGCGGTTGCAGCGGCAGCAGCGACTGCAACGGCAACGGGCTAGAAAACGAAATCGTGAATACGATCGGCAAGGGCCACGGCCACGGTCACGGCCACGGCCACGGCCACGGGAATCGAAACTGCAACGGCTCGTCGACGTCGTCGGTGACGCGGAGCGCCAGGTCCTCCGAGGACGACATCACCTTGAACGAGATGATGGGCAAGTTCGACGAGAGCTACGTGTACGAAAAGGAGACGGACATTCTGTCCGACAGCGACCCGACCGATTGCGAGGACTGCATCGACTCGCTGTCCGACGTCGACGCCGCTCGCATCGGCGCCGAGGACAACGACCCGCTGGACAACACCGAGTTCGATTACATCGACAACGGCTCGTTCCTCGACCTCGACAATCTCGACTGTTCCGGCCGGTTCCCGAACACGGGCCACTGCACCTATTTCGCGTTCACCAGCGAGCTGGCCAGGCGAAGCGACAAGCTNCAGACTACAGCGCGACTACGACTCAGTTGCTCACGAGCATTCGCCAGAGTACTTACCCGCAATCATGGCTGCCCGTTCCGAAAATACCGCGAGTGTTGTGCTCGCGTCCTCCCGTATGGTGCTCCTCGTGTTAGCCGCCGTTCTAGTCCTAGCGAACGCCAACCAGAGCCAGCCGGGTCTCAAGGTCGAGAAGCTCTACGTGCCCGAGGTCTGCGACGCCAAGTCCAAGATCGGCGACCAGCTGACGATGCACTACACCGGCACGCTGCTCGACGGCACCAAGTTCGACTCAAGGTCAGTGACACTCGACCGCAAACATCATTCCATGACGAACGCTCGGCCAGCTCGGCCAGCTCGGCCTGCTCGCCACGCGTTCCGCACGCCGAGCCTCGAGCCTCTCGAGTTTCCGGCTGGAGACCGTCCCTCCTTCCGTTCGGCATCGAATGGGACACACGTGTCGACACTCTCTGTCCCTGTTGCCTCTATTTCAGCTTCGACTTTCGACGAGTTTCGGAAGCGTCTCTCGTGGTCGCAAAGAGGATCCGTGGGTCGAGAACGATAGTCGGGTTCTGTTGGTGCCGATTCTTGATGCCGTTTCGTGCGATATCAAAAGTCACTTTCGCGTGGATCGCTTCGGTGCAACGTATGGTTCGTTCGTATTTCGAACGGTTTACCATGTAAACGTTCACTCTTGCGTTCACACTTTCAGAGGAACGCATTTTAAGCGCTCGTTTCTGGGTTATGATCCTTTGAAGGTATCAATACTTCGTCATATGCGTAGATCGCATTGGCTACTCCTGATGTATTTCGTTATTTCGTTTTTGAAATTTCTTCGAGTTTGCAGAATGGAGTTTTGTTAATATTTTTTTGGATTTCAGATTTTGTAGTTATAAGATACAGGATTTGATTTTTAGCGTTGCTCCGTTTAGTCGGACTTCCTTGAGATTCCTGACGCGTTGAATGACACGAGATGCTTAGTTGAGGGCGCTGCTAGTCGGTCCAGATTTGAAAATTCAGTTTTGCGGGAAATGTCCGAATGCGCTGTATGGTTGTACAATATTTTGAGCAGTTTTATTCGATGCGGAAAGTAGGGTGTTCCGCGAGTGATAAATGTAAGTCGAAAATGCCGGATAAAGTTCTCCCATCGAATGATTCGGTTTCGAGAAAGACGAATTGGAAAATCCGCCAGGTTCGCGTGCCCCAGTATTTACATGTTGAGAGCCAGTAGGTCATGAACAGCCGCGCCAGGCGGTTCCCATTCAATAGGGAATTTGGCGAATTTTCAAACATATTTCTCTCGGAACCTACGCCACGCAAATGCAAAAATTTCATTCTAGACTTTCGCCCCTTTACCGTGTAGAATCGTCGTCTTCGTAGTTATTTCTTGATCCGCGTTGTACAAAAATAGATTGCTGTTTGCGAGGTAACCGAATGCTCGCATCCCATACGTTCTCGAATTTAGAATCGTCAAAGTCGACTATTACTAATTTTTCACCTAATCCCTCCGACGTGCGTCAGTCAAATAGCACGTTTAAAATTACTCGGATTAATATTTTAGTCCATTAATATTCTTTGATCGATATTTTAGCCGGCAGACGCTGCTTTCTAATCGTCCTATTTTTGCTTCGGTTATATTTAAACCCTTCGCACTCGAAGCTATTTTAACTGAAAATATAAAATCATTTTTCTAACTTACAGTATTTCTACTTTATACGACAAAATACATTTTATGCATATGAAATTGACTCTTGGGACTTTTTTAAATCTAAACTTTGTTAATGTCAAAATTATCTTAGAAAATGATATAACAGAGTCACTGCTCGAGGCTGTAAAGGGTTATTATCTGTGGCAGCAGCGCGATAGGCTGTCACGAATCTTAGTTTGTCGCGGTGAAAGGCTGAGTATTACTTCGACGGCCGTAGCACAAACATGGAAAAAACGGGTTGCGAACGGACAGGGAAGTTTGGTCGTATGACGGTTTGGTTTTGACATAATCGTGTTTCAAAGTCAGGCACGCTGTTGAATAAGAATCAGCTAACGTGCCTGCTCATGCCATGCGTTCAACTTTCAAAACCGATTATCTCCGAGACGGGCTCTTGCACGGACAAATTTTATCCTGAGTTTTATCGACTGAATTTTTTTATGGGGAATCGCGTTTTTGTTTCAAGGGTCCGACTAGAAGTTCAAAAACACTGCGTGCAGAAGCCGTCGGTCTGAAGTGATAGTCAGTTGGACAATTATTGCGACGTTCGGCTTCAGCCATTTTTTTCTTAAAAATCACACGACGACCTAGATTTCGTAATGTTCGATTTTATTAATTTATTACGTGCCATCTGAAACATAGGATTAACTTTTCAAGTATTTATTATTACAAATGTAATATGCGGAAGTTTCGAACTACATTTTCCAGGAAGCAAGTGTTCGAATTAAACTGCAAATTATTGTACAAAATTGGTACGTCCCGGTTATGCTGCTCTGGAAACAAGCCTACTTACGTTAAACGCGATGACGCCACGTTAACAACGCGTAGATTAGCAGCGATTGCTACGATTCACCAGTTTCACGTCTGCCGAGTATGTACATCTTCGCGGGAGCGTGCTAGCTTACGGCGAAATGATTTTCCAATGATAGAGTATCGAGCTGATTGATTCAAAATTCCATCAATTCGGATCACTGGCTGTGGCCCGGTTAGGTTTATTATGGCATCGATGAGCTTGCATCGACAATTACGAACGAAAACAATTAACCGACTCGATGGACGTTCATGTGCTTTCAATTCAGAGCAAGATTCAGAAATGCGTTTCTGTCTTTTTTTTAAGTAAATTTATATCTGTTAGATTATATTATATTCCGATTTTTTGTACATCTTGTACAAAAGACAGTTGCTACATTTTGACTGTTTGTATGCCAATCTTTCGATTGTGAATGAGCCGTTTATTTTGAAAGTTGCCTAAGTCCATTCATTTTAAAATCCAGATGTCCAAGGACTTTGCGTTTTAATCAACTTAAAAATATTGGTAACTCATAACATGGCAGTACAGTAATGTCTCTCTAATTGATGCTCAGATTGTCCACAAAAAATGGACAATTTGGGAAGAGGAGATACGATTATTCGAGCCTTGCGATTCGTTTCTATAGTTACGAATTGTCAACAATTATAAAAACGAGCTGCAGGGCTCGAATAATCGTATCTGCTCTTCTCAAATTGTCCATTTTTGTGTACAATCTGAGCGTCAATTGAGGAGACATTACTGTATAATGCTTTTCTGCTGCCAAGAGTTAACGCACTGTAGAGGCTTTGCTGAAATGAAATTATATAGAAATGTAAATATTATGTAGAAATGTAAATATTATATAGAAATGTAAATATTATGTAGAAATGTAAATATCGAAATAATTAGCTCGACGTTTTTGGAAAATGGACCTGGGCCACTTTCAAAATAAACGGGGCACAAATGATCGTTCGCCGCTCGATAGGCTATAATATTCGAGTCGTATCATTTTTACCGTTCGTGTCACACTTCGTTTAAGTATAAACAGCAAAATATTATTGCCGCAGTATGGCGCACTTTCTACGGAGCGAGCCGAGACGGGAATACTTGCACGTTGCAGGTTTCCGGAAGACAGACTTCGCGCGCCTGTTGACGTGGTAAAGTTTCAAAAGTTTCCACTGGGGTCTTAATTAACTGGAGTCACAGCCAAGGGACTTTTAACAGTTTGCTTAAATAGCACCGTTATTTTTATCGTCGAACCGTGTACTCTGGCATAACGATTGCCAAGTCGATCTACGATTTCGATGTGCTCGTTGGACTCGTGTAAAGTAACCACTTGGTCGAATTTTAAAACGCTGCTGTTGCTGAAATGAAAACTTTGCTAAAAATACTGTTATCAAAACACGGTAAAAATTGATATATTCGTGAGAAAAATGAGTATATATTAAATGTGAAACGGGAACTTAAATATACTGTTAAACTCGTTAAGACCAGAAGTAAATGTGTTTACAGCTGCCGTATCTCTTGTAATTAATGCCGTCTAGTTGGAAGCAGATAAAAATCTGCAGTCCCATAGCCATGGAGAAGAAAATGTGAAATTTTCTGACATAATTTCGGAGAGAATTCTTTACGGTACAATAGTAAAAAGAATAAGAATTTTAATAGCGATAAAATTGGCTACTTCAAACTTGCTAGAGTTTTCTAGCAGAATATTCCTGCGATAAGAATTTAAATAAAGATTAGAGATTAGATTATTATTTATAATTAGATTATATATTATATATAATTAGATTATATTATATATAATTATATATAATATTAAATATAATCCATAGCCATGGAAGAGAAAACGAGAAGTTTTCTGACATAATTTCGGAGAGAATTCTGTACGGTACAATAGTAAAAAGAATAAGAATTTTAATAGCGATCAAATTGGCTACTTCAAACTTGCTAGAGTTTTCTAGCAGAATATTCTTGCGATAAGAATTTAAATAAAGATTAGAGGCTCTCGCGACGGTCGAAGCTCGCATAGCAACATCGTCGCTACCGTCGAGCGGGAAGATTGAACTCCGACGACTGGTTTCGAAGTGAAACGTGCTCCCACTCGATTGGCCTATGCGGCCTACGCGCGATCTGCCAACGCGGACACTTTCCAGACCGAACACATAAACAGATGACACAGCAAGTGTTCCGTTAATACTTTTGTTGTGTTTGCCTTTTTTGTTCTTTTTTTTTAATAGTGACTCGCCTGTTCGACAGAATCACGAGACGCGTTTGAAATAAATTTGCATCGAACATTGTCAACTGGCTATGGACAAAGAATAGTTCGGCAGCTGACATAATTTTCTTCAATATTGTGCGCACAGTTGCGTTATTTCTCGCTACAATCGTTTTCTTTTCTTTTTTTACGAAAGATGTCCATATAACAACAACGATTATATTCCATTTAAATTAGAAAAAAATTGTTGGACGTTCTTTTAGCATTTATAAAATTTCGTTATAATTGAGCTATCAGAAGATAACTGTCATTCGCGTTATCGGAAAACCGATGCATATCCGACGCGTATAAAAATCAACGGCTCTGTATTCGATATTGTTCGCAACTCGATTTTATATGCACGCGTATTTTTGTGTTCGAATGTTTGAACAGAACAAAGCGTTCTTAAATAATTTCTATACATATCGGTATTTACGGATAACGAATCCTCTTTACGTATTTGCGGCTTATTTGTTACTTGTCTCTTTCTTTAAATTGCGATCGCATGGTCTATTTCCGCCACAATTTATTTTTCAACATCGTAG